TATTAAAGTTTAACATTATAAAATTAACAAAAATAATATAAAATTCATATCCAGGCGAAATAGCCACATGGCAGCCGAAAACCGTATATTCCCTTCCCATTCTCCTGCCATTCCCTAGCTTGTCGTGTATTCTTTCCAAAAATCGGGACTTTTTTAAAACACCGCAGGTCACGGTTCTGGTCACCTTATGCTAGTGTCAGGCAGTGCCATGGTGGTTCAGATTCCTTGTAAATGCCCCAGGTGAGACTGTCCCCAGTTACAGCTGAGAAGAGTGACCTTCTCGTGTCCAAAGCTCATAGTCCTGACTGGTATACTGGATTTAAAGCTGAGCCAGCACCCAGTGCCCCTTTGTGTGGCCTGGGTAAGGCCACGCCCAGGTAAGGGGCCAGCTGGGCCTTGGAGTTAGGCACAGCTAGATTCAAGCTCAGACTTGCCACCTAGCAGTTTTGTACCAGTTTTGTAAGCTTGGCATGTAACTGTCTGAGCTGTGGGCTTGTATGTTTAAAATCAAGTGCTGTACCTACCCTTAGGTAGGAGGTATCATGAGAATTAAACTTAGCCCATTTCCTGGAGGGTATCCTGCAAACACTGCTCTCTCCTTGGGACTTTGCACCTGTCCTCCTTCCCACTGGGGACTGCAATGGGGATGAGGCTGTGGCAGCTACAGTTTGCCTGTGTACATACCTCACTCCAGCCCATGAGGCACAGCTCTTCTCCAGCTCTGCAGGAAACTGGACATCCTTATTGTTAAACAGAAATTGAACTTTCCCCAAAATCCTTCCAGGCTTTTTTCCTCTCTCCAGGGGAGACCCCTATTCCTCCCACTGTGCCTCTAAGCAGCCTTTCTGAAGGGGAAGAGGTATAGGTCTACTTGTTTGGGGACCCCTGGCCCCTGGCAACTAACCATTCCCCTGCCTTTCCCACCCTCTGGGGGGCCCGATAGATCTCCATTTTTCATCTCAGCTGGTAGGTTCTTCCTCCTTGGTTGTCTAAACCATTTCTGTCCTTTTTTTTTTTTTTCTGAGATAGAGTCTCAGCATGTCATCCTTGGTAGAGTACCATGATGTCATAGCTCACAGCTCAGACTCCTGGGCTCAAGTGATTCTCTTGCCTCAGCCTCCCAAGTAGCTAGGACCACAGGCACCTGCCACAATGCCCACCATTTTTTTGTTGCAGTTGTCATTGTTGTTTAGTTGGCCCAGGCCGGGTTTGAACCCACCACCCTTGATGTATGTTGCTGGCGCCATAACCACTGTGCTATAGGCGCTAAGCCAAGCTATTTCTTTATGGTCAGGGCCTCCCAGTGTGGCAGTTCCTGTCTGGTGTTCCCCTCACCTGCCTTTGCACTACTGTTTCCCTCCCCTTATTAGCTACCTTGCAGAGAATTCTGCTCACATCGCCTTACCAAGCCCACTATGTGCCACTATGAAGGGCCTGTGTTGAGTATACCGTGTACACACACACACATGCCTAATGTACACGGCTGCTTTATGCCTTACAGAGGCACTTCTGAAGAGGCAAAGAGAACTTCTCCTCTGCAGGTTAGAGTCTAAGTCTGTTAAAATGAATTGACAGTACAATAACAGGAAAAAAAAATTATACGTAAGCATAAAAGCCACATAAAACAATGTGAATCATCATACATTTTATAAAAAAGAAAATAAATAAAACAATGTGAAAACTCAAAGAAGGGCCAGATGGTTGAAGCTAAAGTACCCTCTTCCAGGGGAAAGGGCAGTTGGGGGACTGCAGGCAATTTTTAGAGGAGGAGCAGGTGATTTTAGGAGAGGTGAATAGACCCCAGAGGCAAACATCTTATAAATGATTCTCTCTGGAAGTTGAATGGGACAGGAGAATGGGCTGGGCTCTGGGTGTGGGGTTTAATGTTCAGTCTTCTCAGTGGTGCAAGTTTTCATCTCTGGTTAATGAAATTACACAGAAGGGCTCAAAAGTAATTGTGTTGTCTCGGCACCTGTGGCTCAAGTGGCTAAGGTGTCAGCCACATACACCTGAGCTGGCGGGTTTGAATCGAGCCCGGGCCCACCAAATAACAATGACGGCTACAACCAAAAAATAGCCAGGCATTGTGGCAGGCACCTGTAGTCTCAGCTACTTGGGAGGCGGAGGCAGGAGAATCACTTAAGCCCAGAAGTTGGAGGTTGCTGTGAGCTGTGATGCCATGGCACTCTACCCAGGGGGACAGCTTGAGGCTCTGTCTCAAAAAAAAAAAGTAATTGTGTTCCTCTTTGGCAGTCCGTTTTCTAGGTAGCTAAGGAAACATCAGAGAGCAGCCTCCTTCTATGCTTGAGGCAGGAGGCAGGTGTCAGGGGGACCTTGAAGATGTATCTTGAGTCCCATGTGTTAAAGTACCATATTTGGGGGTATTGATTTCTGAGCCCTAATACCTCACTTCATGTCAATGAACTCTTGGTACCTTCCTAGGTTGTTTTGTCCCCTTCTAGAGTGAGGACACTGAGGCTCCAAGAGACCCTGAGGCCCAGACCCTCCTCTTGGGAGAACTTGCTCTCTTTTCCCTCCCTCCCTTTTGACTTAAGGTCCTGTGCTTGTCTCCCTCACCCTATGCTTCCATTCCTGGGGGTGGGTGCTGAGACCCCAGGCCCATCCTTTTCTGCCTTGTTGCCTCTGTCATCAGATCACCTCATGTGCCCCTGAGTTAGGGAAGCTGATTCCTGGGTACCTCGATGCAGGTGGAGGGAGGGGCTTGCCCTTTGGTTGAATCATGGCTTATGAGGCCTGCGTAACATGATGGGGCAGGTCACTGAGCTGGTGATGGCTGGTTGCCCCAAGCCTTGAGCTTACAGCTCTCAGCATGTCCTTCTCCCCTGGTTCTCACATGCGGGGTCATTCACCCCTCTCCCAGCTGTGCCCACACTTGTCCCCTGCTCAGACCCACAGCACTAACTGCCTGATCCTCCTCAGTTCCTCCTTCCCACTCTCTAAAGGCCATAGAGGCTGTCCATCTTCCCAGGTAGATCAGCATATGTCTCAAAGAAACACATCAAAAGCCAATGTGGTGGTGCACACGTGTAATCTCAGCTACTTGGGAGGCTGAGGTGGGAGGATCACTTGGGCCTAGGAATTTAAGACCAACCTGGGCAACATAGCAAGACCCCATCTCTATAAAAAAGAAAGAAAGAAAACAACTCCTAAGGAGCCAGAAAAAGAAAGAAACATGGATTGGGGTGCTGGGCTGTCCAGCTGGGTTTCCTTAGACAGGGAGTGCTCATGAATAATCAAGAGCGAATGGAAAGTCCTTCTGCTAGAGCTGTGCAGATTTGTCCTCCAGTGGGCTAGGCTCCCCATCACCTGCAGCTACATCAGCTCTTAACAGGGTTTGCTCTGTCCCAGACACAGACCCCAGTGACTAACTAGAACCTAGGCCCTGGGACACACAACAGACATGGAAGGCAGCTAGGCAGTGGATGAAGTGATGGGGCTGGGAGAGTTCTACCAGCTAATTCTTACCTACCATCTGTCTGTACTCTTACTGCCTCCAGGCCTGTGTCCTGATGTCCTCTGCTCTTGGGTATACCTCTGATAGTCACAGGGCCACTCTTTATTCAGGTCTCTACTTGGGGCTTTTCCTACTGACTTCTTGACCCCAGGACTTGCCATTCCCTTACCCAGTTTTTGCTCACAATCTTAGCACCAAGGTTGTATTGGTACCGAGAGGCAGGACCAAGAGCCTGTCATCAGATTCCTACCTTGGGGGTGAACCTCAGGCTGATGACCTCTGACCTTTAGAAGTCTCACCCCATCATGGGATGTTTCAGGAAACTGGGGACATGATCAAGGCTTAATCCCAAGGATCTGGGAAGTGAGGAGGGCATTTGTGGGAGGAGTGCCCTTGCTCCAGGCTCTTCTCTGTGGCCCACATGCCTGGACTCTTCTCTCTCCTCAGAAACCCAAGGACTTGGACTTCGCCCAGCAGAAACTGACTGACAAGAATCTGGGCTTCCAGATGCTACAGAAGATGGGCTGGAAGGAGGGCCACGGCCTGGGCTCACTTGGGAAAGGCATCCGGGAGCCTGTCAGTGTGTATGCAGCAGGCACTTGTGGCCTGGGTGGGCGGGTTCTGGCCCTCAGTCTTTTGATCTGCAGCCTGATTCTTGGTTCCCCTTATGCTGAAGCTTGGCTTAAAGCTGGCAATTGGGTTGTTTTTTAACCAAAGGAGTCTTTAGATAAGAAGCTGATCATTTGTGTATGCAGGTGTTTAAACAGCTTCTTTTTGTGTAGACTATTGAACCAGCTTCTGGGCCCTGGTCATTTCCACCAGGGTGGAAATGTCATAAAAGCCAAGTGGTATTTTGGGGTAGTTTCATCTTAGAGCCACTTTCCCTTTCCTAGGAATCCATGGGCAGGCCAGCCAGGTGGTGGAACACAGGCCCAGAGTTGATTAAACCCGTTAATAACATCTAGCAGGCATTTCACTTCAAACTGAACTTAGCCCCTAGTGGGTAAGGCAGTCTGCTGTAATCAGGGCTTTCTGGGCACCCCCTCAGAAATCCAGAGCTTCTCCACAGTGAGTATGCTTTGTTTTCCATTTGAATCTTGTCTTAATTTTCCCTTTCTTTGACATCTGTGTTGTGTATGCTGAGCACCTGGCATCTCACTGATTGCTCAGCCCCTGGTGTGTCAGATCTTACACTCAGGTTCAGTTGACTCTTCTTTTCATTCCTTAGGGGAACCGCCTCAGAAGGGGAGGGGTTGGGTGCCGATGGGCAGGAGCACAAAGAAGACACATTCGACGTGTTCAGACAGAGGATGATGCAGATGTACAGACACAAACGGGCCAACAAATAGGTATGTTCACGAGCCACTGCATGAGGGCTTCTGCTCATGCTGATGTCCTGAGACAAAGACATTTCCCCCACTCCCCTCAATAAAAACATCAAAACACCACCCCCCAAAATCATAGAATTCTGTGAGGGAAACAAAAGGGTCTTTGGATGCATCTGTGTCCCGCTTCCTACCTTCCAGGTTTGCTGAAGGAGTGAGTCTCACGCTAGCCAAGATCATCTGTACCCGGCCTGCCCTGGCGGCGGCCCCTGTCCCTGGCTCCACAGATGCATGCAAGCTGTTCCTTGTCAGCTCACATAGAAATAGTCTACCCCTGGCTCCTCTCTTGCTGGAGTTTTCTCTCACATATCATGGCCACTTCCCATGTAACCTGAGCAGGAAATAGACTATTCCCTAGTGAAGAGTGGGCTTGCAATTTATGCAAGTATAAGGGCAAACTTGGAAGCCACCACCATAGAGGACAGCAGTTGGCTGCCACCTTTTCTGAGGGTCTTCAAATCCTTTTCCTTGTGAAAGGCCTTGGGCCTATAAATACTCTCATCTTTCTACTCTTTTTTTAGTTGCCCTTCTCACCCATAATTTCCAACTCAGTTTTGAACAGTATCATTCTCTTCCTGACTAGATCAAAACCACTGATGAGAAAGATAAGCCTTGAAGCACCAATTACCCTTAAAACATCATCCCTGTCCTGGATCTGCCTGGAGCCAGTGCCCAAGTACGGTTTGGTGTGTACATGAAAACAAACATCTCTGCAGTCTTTGGGGCAAAGGTTTCACTAGCTTTTCTTAAAAAGAATCCACTATTTTCAATATAGTTTTGCCTTTCTTTTCTCTTCCAAATACTTTTAGCAGCAGATCCCTTCCAAGTCTTTTTCGGGTCCTCTTCAGAAGATGGCACTGCCCGCAAAAGAGACTTTTGCCTGTAAGTGCTAAGGAACAAGTTCCTCTGGCTAGTTTTCCAGTCTGAGAGGCCATTGCTCTCCAGAAGTGCTCTGTTAGCAAACATGATGTGGTGTTTTCTTAGAGGAGGCAAATCAGTAATTGCCAAGTCTGCACTCTGGTACCAAAGCTCTGAAGCACTTTGAACAATTAAGATACTTGATTTAATGAATGTATGAATGGTATCTCATCTCTTAAATATGTCCTAAGAGACTTAGCAAAATTTTAGCAACAGTATAGTATAGCTGTATTTGTTGGGGAGTAATTAAACTTTGAGGAAATTAAACTTTCCTCAAATTTACATGTCTCTTTAGAATGCACAGTGTAAGCAAACTACAATATGTTGGGGTTTTTTTAAGCCACATATGGAGTCTTCCCCCCCTACAAGAGAGTGGAAGTTATAAACCCTCCAAGACTCTTCATTTTTTGCACGTGTGGCAGTGTTAAGATTTGCTTTATTACAGCCTTTGTAAAGAAGAGAAACGCTCCTTTTGGGGTGAGCTCTGCAGCTGTTTGTGATTTCAAGGCGTGTGATTGCTGCCGTCTTCTAGACTCCCCAGTGCCCCACTGCTTATACTATATGTGAAATTCTCAGGCTGTGGGAATCTCAGCCCTTCTTTCATAAAGCAGCAGTGTTGAATTTTTAAAACCTGCTAAAATCTGGAAAACTTGGGATCCTGCTGACTCTTCAGGATCAGAGGACACAGCAATAGTTAGGGTGGCAGCAACAGAACTAAGTGGGAAGTGCCGCTTTCATTGGCTGGGGAGAAATCCTTGCTTTCTTTAAGCCGCAGACCTCTTAGGCTGTCATCCCAGCTCCTCAGGTTTTCACTGGTCTGTCTGGCCCCCAGTGCCTCAGCCCCCTGAGACTATTTCCTTCTGGTCTCTTCTGTTGCTTTGGCAACCAGCAGATCTCGATGGCTACAGAGGTGCTGGAGTTGGCCAGCACTGAGGGTGGGTCTTGGATTTGCAATGTGACTCTCAAATAAACCAGCCTGTAGGGGCCCAGGGTGAAACTGGTTCAGGGGAACTACAGGTACGGGAGTTCATCTTTCTTTCCCAACCCTTCGAACAGCTCTCGTGTTGGCTGTGGGTCAGGTGAATGCATAGAACTTGGAGAATAGGGCTTGGCCCATCACCCCTGAGCGAGGTGCACAAACCACCAGTAGGGATCGAGCTCTTCTCTCTAGCACAAATCTGACCATTGTGTGTACCTTGTCCCATCATGCTCATTCTTGACTTTCTCCACTTCTGTTTATTAAAAAGGCAATTCCTGGTGGATGGGCACTGACCCCCACAGCCTCTTGCTGTTCTTCCCAGGGACATCCTGATTTGAGTTGAAATGGTTTCTGTGAGCCTTTAGCAAGCGTCAAAGGGAACACCTACTTCTTGAACCTAGAAAGTCCCATAAACACTCAGGAGCCCAGGAAGTGTGGCAGTGCATCCTTCTGCCAGCTGTTGCTCTCTGTGTCCTCCCCACCCCTTTATCTTAACCAAGGCTATCCTTGCTCTCCACAAAGGCCACCCTGCAGAGATACTGTGTGCAAGCGGGATGTGTGGTGGCACAGCCCTGTCAAAGTCACAGCACCTTTTCTGTCGTTCTAGTTCCAGGGTCTCTTCCGTGAGGACAACAGGCATCCGGAAAGTGCATACTCGCCACTTTGGGTGCTTACTGTCTCTGGCTTATTTCCGTCACTGGAAATCACTTAGAGAATCTTAGTGTTTTTGGTCCCTGGTAAAACCTAGAAGACATTTGTGATGTCACAAAATGGAAGTTTTGTTTTTTTGTTTGTTTTGTTTTATAAATCTAAGAAGTTGTAAATGTTGATCATTTAGCAATTGCAATAAATGTAGAGGAAACCCAATTTTCCATGGTCTCCATCAATGTGTTTTTACAATCAAATCAATCACGCACATGTGGGTGGTAGTGCAGAAATGGACTAGGTGGCGTGCCACCCCCAAGGCACGCCTTTACCGACTGATTCACTACAGTCCTTGTATCACTGGAAAAGCCCCAGTGAGCCATGCATAGTGAGGAGGGCAGTTCCTATTCTGGGTGGCTTGGGGAAGGGGGAAACAGTACTACTGAGTCAGAAACCTGCCTTTGAGAAGGTGTAGAGGAAGAAGGAGCCCTGATTCAGCTACACACATCCCTCCAGGCCTTACCCCCATCCCAGGGCTGGAATTCTGACTGCCAGAGTAAAACCAAGGCCCACCTGGGCCTTTCCCTAAATAGTAGTTTCTCAGGACAGCTTCAAAGCTTCCTGCTGGAGCCAGGTGTGCTGGCTTGCCTCTGTAATGATTGCACTCTAGGAGGCCAAGGTGGGTGGATTGCTTTAGCTCACAAGTTGCAGACCAGCCTGAGCAAGAGACTCTGTCTCTACTAAAAATGAAAAACTAAGGCAAGAGGATTATTTGAGCCCCAAGAGTTTGAAGTTGCTGTGAGCTATGATGCCACAGCACTCTACCAAGGGCAACAAAGTAAGACTGCCTCCAAAAAAAAACTCCCTGCTATTCCTGGTGCTGCCCAGCCTACCTGAAACTCCTCCATCAGCAGCCCTTGGCCCTTCAGGTAAGGAGGGAGTGCAGAAGGCACAGCAGAGAATGAACTTGCACCTATAGGACCTGGAGGGCCTTACTTAGTTGGGGTGTGACGAGTAGAGGCCAGGCTGCAGACAGGGGGTTGGATGCTGTGCCCAGGATCCCAGGACAGGTGAATCTGCATTTAGGAAAGTCCACGTGGCAAGGTTAGAGGGAGAAAACCTGACAGAGCTCTTTAGGAAGCTGATGCAGGAACCTACCCTTCTTTCTCCCCCCTGTGTCCTGGAGGGCAGTCAGGAGTGGCAATGACCCTTTTGACATTGATGGGAGCTGTTGCAAGCCAAGACTCTCACAAATTTATCTTCTTAGAGGTGTCTGATCACTTCCCCAGCTCCTTTAGGTAGTCACCTGGAACCTGCAACAACCTCACCCCATGATGGGTGAGCAACCAGGAGGAATTTGCTGTCTGTCAGTGGTACTCCCAGCTCCTCTTCATACCACCCTGGGACTGGTAAGGATCACTTAGGAGGACAGAAGAGGGTCTCCAGCCCAATTTGTCTTTCCTGGCTTTGAGCCTAGACAGGTCACTGGACCTCAGGCCTCAGTTTCCCCTCTGCAAACTGAGAAGGATTTCTTCCCATTTGAAATGTAAAATGTACCCTGCTACCTTGTAATTTAGTGTTGACTGGACCCTAAATATGTCTGTCAGCCTTTTTCCTCCCTCCAGCTCCCCTGGGATGAGAGGAGCAGAGGGTACTGCCAAGAAGCTCTAGTCACAAAAGCAAGGAATGGTATAGATGTTTTAATATGTGCATGTTCCAGCAACATATGAGTCCATATTCACTGCAAGAGGTGAAAGAAAACCAAACCCAGATGTATGCAAACAAAGCACACAGGTTTCCCCTCCCCCTCCCATGTATCAATAAAATGATAAGATCTACCAGGTAGGCAACTCAGAAACGCTTCTTTATGCCATGGGTCTTCTCAGCAGACTCTGTGTCCTGTGAGAGCAGGTCTTGGGTCCCTTTCCACACAGTTGATTATAAATACAAGCAAATTTTCTTAAAATGTAAATTATACTTCACTGCAAGTTCTATTCTGCCCTTTGCTTTTTTTCACTTAAAAATTTCTGAAATAGGCCAGGCATGGTGGCCCATGCTTAATCCTATAGCATCTGAGAGGCTGAGGTGGGAGGATCCCTTGAATTTTAGAGTTGGAAACCAACCTGAATAAGAGTGAGACCCTGTCTCTACTAAAAGTAGAAAAACTAGCAGAGTGTTTTGCTGGAGTCCCAGCTACTCAGGAGGCTGAGGCAGGAAGATCACTTGAACCCAGGAGTTTCAGATTGCTGTGAGCTGATGCCATGTCATGCTAGCCTGGGCAACAGAGTGAGACTCGGGGTGGGGGGTGAGACTCGAAGTGTTTTGTTTTTTTGTTTGTTTGTTTGTTTTTCCTGAAATGTATATCTGCACGGAGTAGAAAATTTAAAAATAAATGATTATACATATATATTTACATATGTCATTTACCTAATAAGTTCCCCACGCCTAGCCATTTGAATTGTCCCTAAACTTTGGCCCCTACATTCTAAATCAGGCTTCTTTGTGGATAAAGCCAAAGAAATGGCATTTCTGGGACCAAGGGGTCCCCTGAGGGCTTCGCCTCACCTTGCTGCCTTCTTCCATGTTTTTCTTTCTTTTTTTTTT